CCTGAAAAATGGAGATGGTCAACACCACGCTAGTTGCCTCATAATGAAATGAGGGAAAGGGGCGGGGGGAAGCAAAGGTGAGGAGGGGATCAGGCCTTGGCCCTGGCTGCTTCCTGTTTACTCAGAACTTCCTGCTGCTGACCACCAGAGCCACCCACAGCCCACCCCAGACAAAGGTTACACTGGTCCTTGTGGGAATGAAGATTTATTGAGCAACTACTGTGTACCAGGCATTGTGCACACATAATCAAGAATCTAACAATTATTGAGCACGCCTATAGTCCAAGGTATCAAGCACTTTAGACATATTATCTCATTTTATCTTCTGGTAACCCGGGAGGTGGGCACGGGACATGCAGAACACCCGTATGAAAAGTACTGAACTTCTCAGATCTACCTTTTTTCTCTCTGGCCCTCGCCCCAGAAACCCTTGGTGCTAACTCGCAGAATTCCATCATTTAGTCATGAAAACTCCAGGGCAGCCTGTTGGTGAAAGAGCTCTTAGGAACTTCATTAGACCAACTTCAGAAAACTCCAGATGTAATTTCTAAGATGCCCGGACTTCAGGTGTTGTGTCTAGCAAAGGTAACCTCTCTCTAATCTGTAGAAAGGACTCCTGGTGTGGCACTGTAGAATAAGCACTGGACAAGGTTGGCAGTTCAAACCCACCAGGTTCTCCTTGGAGAAACCCTGTAGAGTCACAATGAGTCAGAACTGACTCGAAGGCACTTATCAATGATAACAACAATCTGTTAAAAAATGGTCTCTAGTTAGAGTAAGTGTTGTTGTTGTTGTTATGTGCCGTGGAGTCGGTTCCGACTCATAGCAACCCTATACAGGGTTTCTAAGGCTATAAATCTTTATAGGAGCAGAAAGCCTCATCTTTCTCCTGTGGAACAGCTGGTAGTTTCAAACTGCTGACCTTGTGGTTCGTAGCCCGATTTGTAACCACTACGCTACCAGAACTCCTTTAATAACTGGTAACCATTGTATTTTTCAATCACCTCATATGCATGTGAAAGCTGGACAATTGGTAAAGAAGACTAGAAAAGAATCGATTCATCTGGATTTTGGCGAGGTATAATGAAAGGACCATGGACTTCTAGAAGAGCAAACAACTCTGTCTTGGCAGAAGTCTGACCAGAATGCTACTTAGTAGTAAAGATGGTGAGACATCATCTTTTGTACTTTGGACATGTCATCAGGAGGGACCAGTCCCTGGAGAAGGATGTCATGCTTGGCAAAGTGGAGGGTCAGCGAAAAAGGAAGATTCCCCAAGGAGATGGATTGGGGCAATGGGCACAAATGTAATTCTGAGGATGGCGTAGGACCAGGGGTGTTTCGTTCTGCTGTGCATAAGGTTACTACGAGTTGGAACCAACTCCACAGCACCTAACAACATGGTCATTAATATTGAACACGACATGTCTGTCTGCTGGAAGGTAGGAGCATTTGGCCAAACAGGATCTGAACAGATCTTTCCAGTTCCACACATAAGGGGGGTAAAACGAAAGATCCCGTCACTATGTGGAAGTTGATTTCCATGGTGATTAGGAGTCTGATTTCATTTCATTGACAAATGGGGCCATGCTTCCAAGGCTGAATTGAACCTGGAGAAGGCTGAAAAACATGAGGGAGGCAGAGAAGAGGGACCTGTACTCGGGTTTCCAAGAGGCCTGTTCTCTGCAATCAGCTGCCCGCTAAGGAGCGATGCTGGAACTCTACAGAGCCAAAGTGAAAAACCATGGGCTTGGGCTTGGTTGTTACTGGTGTTGTCTTGTCTTTTTTAGTGTCATTAGAAGCTGATCTATAAGGCGATTGGGATTTGGGGCAATGGCTCGGAGGGGTGCCTAAGCTCCCCAGCCCGGAGCGTGTCTAGTTTGAGAGGTGCCTGATCAGATTCAATTTTTCATCTGCTTTGAAGTGAGTGATATTCCTTGCTCTGTGAGGGCTGAGGCCTGTCGAGTTTTCCCCAGAACTGGAAAGGCCCAGACAGGACTAACTAGATGGGTGTTCCTCCCTAAAGGGAAGAATGATGGAGGAAAACTGGTGCCGTGGGTCCTCTCTTTCGATTGGTGTACCTTCCATACCATCTCCTGCTCGCTCAGTAACTGACTGATTCCTCTGTGAGGTTTTCTCCCCATAGGGACTTAAGGGGATTCTGGGCCCCTAGGAAGATTCAGACTTTCTGATACTGAAGTAACAGCATCTCCTTGCTTCTGAGGATTGGGGTGGTCACAGCAGGAATGGCAAAGGAAAGGTGTTTCCTTTGGAAGCATAGATGGGCTCTCAGACCAGCCCCCCCGCCCCCCCTCCCGCCCCCCCCAGACAACAGGAAAGAACAAGACTAACAAATTCAGCAGAGCCCAGAACCTGGACCCCTCCTCTGAGAAATCCTGGCATGGTGCTGTAAGATAAATATAGGATTGCCAACCATAAAGTCAGTGGTTCAAACCCACCAGTCTCTCCTCAGAACCCTATACAGGGTCACTATGAAACGGAGCCAACTTGATAGCACTTAACAACAATAGCGTCTTTGAACTTAGTCCCTGTACCAGTTGTCCTTGAGTCGACTCAACTCATGCCATCCCCATGCTTGTCAGAGTAGAACTGTGTGCTCCATAGGATTTCCAATGGCTGTTTTTGGGGAAACAGCTCACCAGACCTTTCTTTCAAAGCACCCCTGGGTAGACTAGAACCTCCAACTTTTCAGTGAGCAGCTAAGTGCTGCACCATTTGTATTATGCAGGGATCCTTTTCGCATTTGGGAGACTACAAAATGTTTATATGATTCTAAGATCTCAAAGGTATCTAGGGAAAACATTAAGATAGATACCAAGCTAAAACTCCTAATGTTTCAATGTGATAACCCTTTGAAGAAAAATTCTCCAGGTTCAGCTAGAGCAATGCTGACAGAGTAGATGCTCAATAAATCTACATGAAATGAAAATAAATGGGAGAAAATCAAAAGCATGGCTCTTCAGCCACCCACTCATAAATTCCTGTCTGTCACTTACATAGATGTGTGACCCAAATCACTTGCCATCAAGTTGACCCTGACTTGTGGCAACCCCATATGCATCAGAGTAAAACTGTGCTCCACAGGGTTTTCAATGGCTGAGGTTTTTGTTTTGTTTTTTTCATAAGTAGATTGCCAGGTCTTTCTTCCAAGGCACCTCTTGGTAGACTCACCCCTCCAACCTTTCAGTTAGCAGTTAGGCACATTAATCATTTACGTCACCAAGGGATCATTGGTTTTCTAATCGGAAAAGACGCCGTACGTGGAGACGTATTTAAATTACTCAATAGAGTTACAAAACCTTCATTCCAAAATGAGTAAGATAAAATGCATAAAAATAACTTTGTAAAAACACATAAAATTACATGATCAATGAAAGAATACTTCTGATTTCTAATATAAACTCTATCTAAAAGTTTTCCCAGTATGAAAAAATTGTTAACCTTAGTTTAAAGACTTTCATGTCCCTGCTGAGTTATCAGACCATGCATGTCAAAGGGATGCAAATTTCTATCTGACCCAAACTGGGAACCCTAAAAAGGCCAAAGAAAGAACTACATTCACTGGAAACCACAAAGGTTACCCCCTGGATATGAAATGGATTGAACTGACTAGAAAAAGAAATTTGAAGAATAAGAGATAAGGTTTCTCATTACAATTCATATCTAAGAGAGTTGCCTATAGGGCCCAGAAAGAGGAGGATTCTAGAAGCAAAATACTGCGTCCCTTTACTGATAAACTGTTCAAAAGTTAGATTGTGGGAACAGGTGTTCAACCTGGTCACTAGATTTTAATAAAATTCATTAAATTGTACATTTCAAGGTTTAAGACTTCCAGGTCTAGTTCTGGTTCTTTTTTTTTGACCAGTCCTGATCTTTGAAAACCCCCAGAGCTGGAACTGCTGGGAAAGAAATCTCAGGGACAAGAAGAGAACATGTTTCCCCTTCCTAAGGTTGAGAACCACTATCATGAGTGGGGCTGAGAGACATGCCATCTCCCAGAAAAGTAACATCTACCTTCTAAAAGGAAGGAGCTCTGGTAGCGTAGTGGTTATGAATTGGGCTACGAGCCGCAAGGTCAGCAGTTCGAAACTACCAGCTGTTTTGCAGGAGAAACATGAGGCGTTCTACTTCCGTAAAGATTTACAGCCTCGGAAACCCTGTAAAGGGTCCACTATCAGTCGGAGCCGACTCCACAGCACACAACAACATCTTCTAAAAGGAGTCCTGGTGTGGCACTGTGGGTTTATGCACCAGACTGCAAAGTCGTTTGATACTGCATGTTCAAGTTCAAGTGCAAGTTTGATACTGGCTGTTCAAGTTCAACAGCTGCTCCCTGGAAACCCTACACAAGTTCGCTATGGGTCGGAACCAACTTGATGGCACTTAACAACAAGCCTTCTAAAACGCCTGCAATTCTGATAGTTCTCTTATGTGGCTCTGGCAATAACTTTTACATTGACGTCTCTGTTTTCTGAAAGGCACAAGGGGCTAGAAGGTTTCTTTGCAAAAGCAGGAGAGAACTCGGAGTGTTTGTGTCTCCTCCCACATGCAAGGTCAAAACAAAACACTCCCAGGATCCAACAAAGGGTTTGAGAGTTTCACCTCATGTAAAGTAATGTGCTGACGTTCTCCCCTTTTTACAGAGAAGGAAACTGAGGCTCGGGTAGGTAAGATCACTTGACCAGGTCACCCAGCAGATTGGTGAGTGGTTTTGACCCAGAATTTCAACCCAGCTTGCCTAACTCTGGTCTTCACTCTTAACCACTGGGCTATTCATTCACTTAACCCTAAAAGAAAAAAAAGAAGAAGCAGCTAATGAATCGAGAGATGAAATGACTTGTCCAAAGTCACACAACCATGAAGTGGCCAGACGGGAATTTGAACCTTTTCTGACAATCTAAGCCTGTGCATTTTCCACCTACCCTGCTGCCGGTCAGGGTGACTCCTCCCCAGCCCACCTGGCTGACCCCACCCTGGGCTCACCTGCGCTCTTGCCCGAAGAGGCGCTCCACCTCAGTTCGGCCAGGGCTGCGGTTACGGCCCCCGTTGCTGCCCTGCGCCTGGGGCCCTGGCTCCCTCTGCACCAGCCTCCTGGGTGGGGGTAGGTCAGCCAGCATGGTGTATTCCTCCCTCTCCAAGTTGTGCCTGGATTCCCCAGGGGGCACTGAGCCCCGGGAGCCCCACGAACTGCCCGATGGAGGTGAGAGAGCCAGGAGCACTAGATCACTGGGTGGGTGACGGGGTGGGGAGGAAGCTCGAGGTGCATCCCGGTGCCCAATGCACACTTGGGGGAGCACAAGAGGGGAGCCATGCAGAGAGTCAGTGGAGGGGGCCAGACTCTCCATGCTGGTCCCAGGAGGGTCTTGAAAAAAGAGGGAGGGCTCAGGAGCCTGGCGGGGTGTAGATGAGAAGTAGGGTGCGTCCCGGTGCCCGATGCACACAGGGGTGGGGATGTGGAGGGGCTCATGCAGGGAGTCAGTGGAAGGGACTAGACTCTCAGTGCTGGCCCTAGGGAGGTCCTGGAATAAGAGGGCGGGCTCTGGGGCCTGGCGAGGTGGGGAGGAGGCCTGGGGGGCATCGCGGTACCCGATACACACAAGTGGGGGTAACTGAGGTGGGTCATGCTGGGGAGACTGAGTTTCAGTATCTGATGTGTCCGGCAGGAAGGGGAAAGGATCAAACTGGGTGTGGCGGGGAGGTGAGGAAGCCCGAGGAGCATCTCGGTGTCCAATGCATACGGCAGGGGGCACATAAGGGGGGTCATGGTGGACAGAATCACTCTCAGATGCGTGAGGGTCTGGGAAGAAGGGGAAGGGGTCATGTTGCAAATAGCGAGGCGGTGAAGAGGCTCGAGGGGCATCCCGGTGCCCAATGCAGACAGTACACTGAGGCTGGGAGGAGTCGGAAGTCTGGGATGCGCCTCGACTAAAGGAGTACAGAGGAGAGGAAGTGCGGGAGGCACCATGGTGGCCGGGGTTATGGGAGGAAGAGGTGGCCCGGGATGGTGAGCTGTGCAGTGTGGAGACAGAAGACTGAAGTGGGTCACGCTGGGCTGGTCTAGTAGGAGATGAGGTCTGAGGCCGGTCACCTTGGGTTGGCCGGAGGGCAATGGACGCCCAGGGAACCTCACTTTGCTTGGTGCGAGATGGTGAAGAGGTTCGGGGGCCATCACTCTGTGTTGGCCGGAGGGTAAAGGAAGCCCAGGGGATATCTCTGTTAGTACGGTGGGGAGAGGAATTCCTGGGGTTGTTCTGTTGAGTAGAGCGACGGGGAGATGATGGTCCAGGATTGTCCTGTTGGGTACAGCACTGAGAAGAGGAGTTTGGGTTAGCCTGTGATGCGGAAGAGCAGTGCAGGCTGTCCCGTTGGGTACAAGATGTTCTGGGATTATCCCGTTGGATACAGGAAATTTTAGAGTTGTCTCGTTGAGTTGAAGAAGTTCTAAGGGTATTCTGTTGGGTACAAGAAGTTCTGTGGTTGTCCCACTGGGTTGTTCTGTTGGGAGAAGAGGTTCTGGTCCTGTCCCGCTGGGCACAAGACATTCTGGGGTTGTCCCGTTGGGTGGTTCTGTTGGGAGAAGAGGTTCTGGTACTGTCCCGCTGGGCACAAGACATTCTGGGGTTTTCTCGTTGGGTGGTTCTGTTGGGAGAGGAGGTTCTGGTACTGTCCCGTTGGGCACAAGACATTCTGGGGTTGTCCCGTTGGGTGGTTCTGTTGGGAGAAGAGGTTCTGGTACTGTCCCATTGGGCACAAGACATTCTGGGGTTGTCCCGTTGGGTGGTTCTGTTGGGAGAAGAGGTTCTGGTACTGTCCCACTGGACACAAGATGTTTTAGGGTTGTCCCATTGTGTGGTTCTGTTGGGAGAAGTAGCTCTGGCATTGTCCCGTTGGGCACAGGATCCTTTGGGGTTGTCCCGTTGGGTGGATCGGTTGGGAGAAGAGGTTCTGGGATTATCTCGTTGAGCACAAGAAGCAGCCCAGGAGTTGTCCTGTTGGGTAGAAGCAGTTCTGGGGTGTTCTTGTTGGGTGTTTCTGGAGGATGAGGAAACTTGGAGATTGCTTCGCTGAGTGGAAGAGGTTCTAGAGGTGTCCCATCGCGTAGTTCGGGGAGGAGAGGAAGCTCTGGGGGTGTCCTGGGTGGACAAGGCTCTAGAGCTGTCCCATTGGGTGATTCGGGAGGGAGAGGAAGCTCGGGGGGTGTCCTGTTGTGTAGAAGCAGCCTGAGCAATGTCCCGTTGGGCAGAACGATGGGGAAGGGAAGCCTGGGGGGTGGCACTTCGAGGTCCACTCTGTGGTGTTGTGGAGGGAGCCTGGGCTGGCACCGATCGGAGCCGCTCTAAGGAGAAGTACCCACTTTCTCCTCGGAGCTTTGCCCAGTGCTGTCTCCTGGAGCTGCTGTCTGCAGAGAGAAGAGGGAGGCACAAGGTAAGAGAAGGGGACCAGCCACTCCCACGCTGACCTTCCTTTGTCTCCTGAGATAGATGGTCAGGGAAGAGCCCACAGTCCATGCCAAGTGACCCACCCCTTTGACCAAGGCCTACTAGACAAAGGACTAGGGTCAGGACTTTGGGATTGAGACTGGCTGATACAGTGAGATGGAGTGGGCTCCAGGTCTTAGAGGTCACACAGTCTGGGGGCAAGTCAGAGATGCAGCAAGTACTCCAGAAAAGTGACCCCAGAGAAGGAGAGGGACACTTCCTGTTCTGGGTTCTGTTTCTGCAATTGGATCTTGGAGAGGACCCCATTTTTCACTGATGAGCTTCTTTCTGTTCTCCAAGTGCCTGCTCTTTGTACCTGAAAGGATCCTCCTCAAAAACTCCTCCCAACACTGAGACAAGAATGGGATGGATGAGTGCCAGGGGAGGAGAGCCAAAGTATGGGCCATGCATCCACAGCCTGGGCTTCACCTGGGAGATGGTAGAAATGCAGACTCTCAGGCCCCACCTGACACAGAAACCGACTCATAACAAATCCACATGTGGTTTGTATGCAGCTTCAGAAGTGCTGTGCCCCCAAAATGTCCCCTTCACAACTCCCAGTCCAATGACGGGATCACCACACCTCAACCCTTTGGTCACCAAGCATGTGTTGGCAACCAGCAATGTCCCTAGGCTTTGGGAGAGACAAAAAAGGTATCACAACTTCATCCTGAAAGACCCATGGCTGTTCCCATTAATCCAAACCAAACTTGCAGCCACCATAGCAACTCTGTATAGGGTTCCCAAGGAGCGGCTGGTGGGTTTTGAATCGCCGACTTGGTGGCTTAATCCAGTTTGTGGTCCAGTGCCTATCCTACAGCACCACACCAGGTCTCAACACCACGGCTCCCCGATGGCCACCATTGGGATGCCCTCCACTCAGCCATGACTCAATGGTGACTTCATACACAAAGGAATGAATGCTGCCCAGCCCCACACCACCCCCATGACGGGTTGCAAATTGGACTGTTTGATCCATAAGGTTTTTCACCGGATGGTTTTCAGAAACATTGCCAGGTCTTTCTTCCTAGTCTGTAGTCGTATGGAAGCTCCATGGAAACCTGTTCATCCTCATGGCAACATGCAGCCTCCACTGACAGATGGGTTGTAGCTGGTATTCATTCAAACCAGGCCCCCTGGATGGAAGGTGAGAATTCCACCACGGAACCGCGGATGCCTCTTACACACCCCGTCTTGTGCTCATTAAGTGCCACTGAGTCAGTTCTGCCTCTTAGTGACCCTGTATAGGGTTTCCAAGAAATAGCTAACCTTTCAGTTTATAGCTCAGTGCTTATCCTGCAGCACCACACAAGGATTCTTGGCTTCCCACTGCAGAATTGAACCCTAGTCTCCTGTGTAACAAGCTACAGTGGTAAATATACACCCCGTAGTGGTGGTGTGTCGTGGAGTTGGTTCTGACTCATAGCGACTCTTCATAGGGTTTCTGAGGCTGTAAATTTTTATGGGAGCAGAAAGTCTCATTTTTCTGTAGTTTTGAACTACTGATCTTGAGTTTAGCAGCCCAACTACTAACCACTACACTACCAGAGCTCCTTAATACCCCACTTGTTGTTTTTGTCAGGTGCCATCGAGTCTGTACCAACTCATAGCGACCTTATGCACAACAGAACGAAACATTGCCCGATTCTGGGCCAACCTCACTATTGTTGTCACGCTTGAGCCCACTGATGCTGCCACTTTGCCAGTCTATCTCGCTGGGGGTCTTCCTCTTTTTCTCTGACCCTCCACCGTACCAAACATGATATCCTTCTCCAGGGAATGGTCCCTTCTGACAATATGTCTGAAGTATGAGAGACGAAGTTTGGCCATCTTGGCCTTCAAGGAGCATTCTGGCTGCATTTCTTCCAAAACAGATCTATTGGTTCTTTTGGCAGCCCATGGCACTTTCAATATTCTCCAACACCATAACTGAAAAGCATCAATTCTTCTACAGTCTTCCTTATTCACTGTCCAGCTCTCACATGCATATGAGGTTATTGAAAATACCATGG